TAAACCCTAAGCCCCAAACCCTAAGCCCTACCTCTCTCTGCGAGGTCTTCGGTGATGAACTGTTGGGCGAGGGTTCTGAGGGTTTTCTCGTCTTGAGGGTTTGTGATTCTTCCCCCGTAAGTAATTTCCGAAAGAAGTTTTTTTAAAGAATTAAAAAGAGAGGTTTGTGGGGCCGCAGCTGCGGTGTACATACACCTCAGCAGCTCCAAAGAAGCCTTCAAGTCCGAAACCGAAAAGTAGTAACTGCCGTTCCATCCGAGGGCTCCGTAAGAGGCTCTTTCCTGGAAAATAAAAAGAAATAAATGAAAATAAATGAAGATAAATGGAAATAAATTAAGAATAAATTAAAAATAAATTAAAAATGAGTTAATTTGATTCAAAATTTTCTTTTTTTCGTTCGAAATTTAAAAATTCACACAAGTTGAAAAAAACCAGTGTCGATACACCCCACCTGCACCACTGCGTGAAAAACCAGAAGAGAAACTTTCAAAGATTTCCACTGAGACTCTCCTTTGTCTGCTGCTGCTGCTGCTGCTGCTGCTGCTGCTGCTGCGGGTTCTTTTTTGCTGCTTTTTATCGCTCCTAGGGCCTCCTGGAGGCAAGCCCTGAAAAGAAACATTTCTTCTTCTTCTGGTTTTACCTGCTGCTCATAATTAATTAATTAATTAACTAATTATAATTATTTAATTAATCAATTACAATCAATTAGTTAATTAATTGATTAATTATAATTAATTAATTAATTAATTAATTAATTAATTATAATTATTTAATTAATCAATTACAATTAATTAATTATAATTATTTAATTAATCAATTACAATTAATTAATTAATTAATTAATTAATTAATTATAATTATTTAATTAATCAACTACAATTGATTAATCAATTGATTAATTATAGTTATTTGATTAATCAAATACAATTAATTAATCAATTGATTAATTATAATTGTTTAATTAATCAATTACAATTAATTAGTTAATTAATTGATAAATTATAATTATTTAATTAATCAATTACAATTAATTAATTAGTTAATTAATTGATTAGTTAATTAATTAATTAATTTTCGATTTGTCGTTTTTCTCTCCCTTTGTCTCTTCCTGTCCGGCACTGGTTGTATGCTTGTTTTTATCGGCGCCATCTTTTTTCTAGAGGGTTTAGGGTTTAGGGTTTAGGGTTTAGGGTTTCTGTAGTTGGGTCTGTTTGCTGCATGGGGTTTCGCCTTGCGCCTCAGAGAGAGACAGTGAACGCGTCGTTTCTTCAGCAATTAGGGTTTAGGGTTTAGGGTCCAGGGTTAGGGCCTAGGGTTTAGGGTTTAGGGTTTAGGCGAGACGGACGTAAACCCTTTGGGTTTTTCCAAAGACAACTTCAAAGAACGCTGCAGCACCGACGCGGGGAGAAAGTCGACGGGGAGAGACGTGAGAAAAAGTCGGAAGTTGGGGTGTACGTACACCTCGCCAAACCCTAAACCCTCGTCGCCGCTAAACCCCAAACCCTCGACTGTCTGCTGCAGCTCCGCCATCCAGCTTTTCGCCAAGTGACAGTTCTGCAGCAACGCCCAGCCCCCTTCCCTGCAGCGCAAACACTAAACCCTAAACCCTAAACCCTAAACCACAAACCCTTAACCCCAGACCCTTAGCCCTAAGCCCTAAACCCTAAACCCTAAACCCTAAACCCTTAACGTAAAGCCGCGCCGGATTCGCTTCTTGGTTTTTCGCAGCTTCGCAGCCGAAGGCCCGCCAGAGCCAGTCTCCACTAAACCGCCAGGGTTTAGGGTTTAGGGTTTAGGGTTTAGGGTTTAGGGTTTAGGGAGTTACCTGAGGGCCGTAGCCAGCACGCGGGAGGCCTTGGGGGCTTGGCCCCGGCCCAGGGAAATACACTCAAATTGGGGTTTAGGGTTTTGCTGCTCCGCAAGTGCAGCAAGAGCAGCAGCAGGATCTGCGCCAGGAGACAGCAGCAGCAGCAGCGGTTTGCTGCTGCTGCAGCAGCGCAGCGCCTCTTCTAGCGAAGGAGGCAGCAAGTTGCAGAAGGAAGGGCCCAAAACCCTAGACACTACTTCCAGCGCAAATGCAGCAACCTGCAGCCGCAAACCCCAAACGAGGGTTTAGGGTTTAGGGTTTAGGGTTTAGGGCCTGCGGGGCAGCAGAGCCCACAGCGCCTCACGGCGCCGCAGCGGAAGCTCGCTTTCCACTCTAAAGTTTAGGGTTTAGGGTTTAGGGTTTGGGGTTTACGGCGTCCTTTCGAACGATGTTGAGCAGCATCATGGTTTCGAAAACCCTGAGGGTTTGGGGGTTTTGCTGCTGCCAGAGAGGAGGGTTTAGGGTTTGAGGGTTTGTGCTGCTGAAGTAAGAAATCCATTTATCTCTGTTGGCCACAAGATGAACTGGTAGCTCTTTTAAAGAAGGCAAAACCCTCGACAGCAGCAGCAGCTGCGTCCACTGCTGCTGCTGCAGCAGCTCCGGCAGAGGGTTTGGCCCCAAACCCTCGCCCAAACCCTCGCGCAAACCCTCGCCCAAACCCTCGCCCAAACCCTCGCGCAAACCCTCGCCCAAACCCTCGCCCAAACCCTCGCCCAAACCCTCGCCGCGACCCGCCTCAGCGTTTAACCCGCAGCCGCTGACTAGCAGCGCTGCCGCCTGAACAAACCCTAAAC